TTAATTAATGTATAGATGTAAAGAATATTTACTTATTAATTAATATGAGACTGCTTTAATTATATTTACTCTCAAGTCTTTTGAAGCGCTTTTCATATTTACTACTTATTGCGATTACAGCGCCATCTGTTTGCATATTTTACAACTATTATTTGGAAACTTTTCTATAACAATCTTACAGCTTTCGCAATAAATATTCTTCTTGCTGTATTCCTCTATCAATCATTGTTTTCGAGATTTTTAATATTGAAATCAAGAACTCATATGCTGGATACCCTGTATGTTTCAGATTTTATAAAGCTTCAAATGCATAGTCATATTATATATTCGTTGCTGTATATAGTTTCAATATGTGAGGATGTGTGAGTACGAAGAGAAACAAATGCTATGTTTACGTATAATGTTTTATTAGCTTATAATTGCTTCTTGAGAAAAATGAAAGAGAAGCATTAAAAATCTGAAAATTAGTAGAAATTACACCTATGTATAGCACTTTTTAGAATTTTAATCTGATGTAGTTAGCTATGGGCAGTCATTACTTAATCAAACCTTTTCCGAAAGACCTATTTTGCAGTTTTTCATGTTAAAATATAAAATAAGGAGCAGAAAAAAAAAAAAAAAAAAAAGATTACATCAGATTACTCATACTAGAATTGTATGAATAAATGCCAAGTTTTATATAGAGATAGATAGATAGATAGATAATACATATGCACACATATACACATTTCTTCTTATTATAAGTTAGTCTAATATTCTTTCAGTAAAGATTAGCACGTCGCCATGCTCTGCTAGTGCTCCAAGGGGCCCAATTAACAACTTTTTTTGCTTTGTTTTAGTTATTCATTACATTGAATTAAGATGTTTTAATATTTTGACCATCGTGAGGTAATCCCTTGTTTGTTGATTATGTAGTTATAAAAACATAAATTTATAAATATTTTAACTTTATAAATTAATACATAGCGTTAGTTTGCACTTTAAAAGTACATTTCGCCATCAATAACTTCATAAAAATAATCTACATATTATGGACAGGATTGCATCTTGATTTCATTAGAGCCATATTATATTACTTAAGAACACGAAAAGTATATATTGAAAAACATATCAGTGAGAAAAACATTCGACAATAAATTTATAAATAAAAATTTCAGAATATCGAAAGTTTAGTGTTAAAACTCTTTATGTTATTTTGTTTTTAATATTCTTCACGCCTTTTAGCATTCACAGATCATTACATATTATAATAGTGATCGTATATTTTGAAAATTTTATGTTTGTAAAAGCCAACGTTGGCAGCCAGCCAACGGTTTCATATTCGATAAAGTTGAATTACTTGAATTCGACAGCAAGAGCTCTATCGCGGCTAGGCAGAGTATTTCACATCCACGAAACGAACTCAAGTTCTGTCCCCAAGGCCAAACGGCCTCTCGCAACGCATTTCCGATTCGACTTATGGATGTCGCCACGACCAAAGCCCTCCACTGAATACCAAAAAACTGAACAACCACGAGCAGTAAATCACCACAGTTCCACGAGTAATAAATCACCACAGTTCCACGAGTAATAAATCACCACAGTTCAGAGGTCTGCGGTTCAGAGGTCCTGACAAAGGCGCTTGCTTATTTTTCATCTTGCCTGCTTCCAAAAATACCTCTACAGTGGCGCCCGAACTAAAAGGGTGTTGGATGATGATTCTCCACACCCAGGAATTGGCGACTGGGTACCCTAAAAGCCCCAGTGGCCCTTTAAAAGGGGGAGTATGATAATATATATAAGGTAGGTGTATATAAAGTATGAGTATATAAGGTATGAGTACATAAGACATTCTCCTTGAGAACATCATTCTGATGAGTTTGCATTTTACAAAATATAAAAATATATCGTACATTTTTCATCATGATGTTTATAATTTATTATAAATATTGCTGATTTTTATGCTTGATTTCTTACTTTACTACAGAAATACAAAATGAATGTTCATTAAATGTCTCAGCCTCTTCAAGTTTTCATCATTAATTATTTTAAAGCTAAAAATAAATGTACAAACACAATTTTAAAAAAAAGTGTTCGAAGGCCCCTTTGGTCAGCTTTTTTTCTACATTATTTAAAATATTTTCCGCGGTAATTAGAAAATAAATCCTCAAGTTTTATTATGAAAATGTTATTTAAAAACTTATTTCAAGAGGCGTTGCTAAGAGGAACATGTTCCCATACATTCAGATAAAGATTTTTATTAAATTTATGAATTTATAGTTGTCAGATCTGAGGAGATTATTCAGAAGGAGTAAACAACCTCCTCCCATTTCCTGTTGTAGTTTAATGATAAGGACGTCAGTCGGTAATTCATTAATATCAGTTCAAAGAAAGGACTAATTATTTGCGATATTTCACAGTCCCAAAAGTTTTTTCTAAACTGAAATAAACAGTCCCCCAAATTTTTTTTTCTAAACTAAAATAAACTGAAATAAACAGTCCCAAAAGTTTTTTAATTAAAATAAACTGAAATAAACAGCCCCCAAAGTTTTTTTTATTAAAATAAACTGAAATAAACAGTCCCAAAAGTTTTTTTAATTAAAATAAACTGAAATAAACTGTCCCAAAAGTTTTTTTAAATTAAAATAAACTGAAATAAACAACCCCAAAAGTGTTTTTCTAAACTAAAATAAACTGAAATAAACAGTCCCAAAAGTTTTTGAAACTAAAATAAACTGAAGTAAACAGTCCCAAAAGTGTTTTTCTAAACTAAAATAAACTGAAATAAACAGTCCCAAAAGTTTTTTAAAATTAAAATAAACTGAAATAAACAGCCCCAAAAGTTTTTTTTAATTAAAATAAACTGAAATAAACAGTCCTAAAAGTTTTTTTAATTAAAATAAACTGAAATAAACTGTCCCAAAAGTTTTTTTTAAAATTAAAATAAACTGAAATAAACAATCCAAAAGTGTTTTTCTAAACTAAAATAAACTGAAATAAACAGTCCCAAAAGTTTTTGAAACTAAAATAAACTGAAGTAAACAGTCCCAAAAGTGTTTTTCTAAACTAAAATAAACTGAAATAAACAGTCCCAAAAGTTTTTAAAACTAAAATAAACTGAAGTAAACAGTCCCAAAAGTTTTTTAAACTAAAATAAACTGAAATAAACAGTCCCAAAAGTTTTTTAAATTAAAATAAGCTGAAGTAAACAGTCCCAAAAGTGTTTTTCTAAACTAAAATAAACTGAAATAAACAGTCCCAAAAGTTTTTTAAACTAAAATAAACTGAAGTAAACAGTCCCAAAAGTTTTTTAAACTAAAATAAACTGAAGTAAACAGTCCCAAAAGTTTTTGAAACTAAAATAAACTGAAGTAAACAGTCCCAAAAGTGTTTTTCTAAACTAAAATAAACTGAAACAAACAGTCCCAAAAGTTTTTTAAACTAAAATAAACTGAAGTAAACAGTCCCAAAAGTGTTTTTCTAAACTAAAATAAACTGAAATAAACAGTCCCAAAAGTTTTTTAAACTAAAATAAACTGAAGTAAACAGTCCCAAAAGTGTTTTTCTAAACTAAAATAAACTGAAATAAACAAAGTTCGTTTAATTTAGCATTTGTTCAAACTTGTAATTCAAAATCGCCGAAACATGAAAACAAACAGAAAATTATTGAAGAACAATAATAAATCGTACAGCAGATGTTAAATAAGACTCTGCTATCAGAGAAACTCAGAAATAAAGTTTTAGATACTAAATCTAAGAAATATTTAACTAGAGAGAGAAACTTAAATGTTCAAAATGTGCTCAATTTAGCTTTTTTTAAAAGTAAATATGTGATTTAATAATGTACGAGAATGTGTCAAATTCTTCGAAAAAGCAAGTAAAATAATAGTATTAGAACTTTTCTGATAAAAAGAAATTCAAACTTTAATTTAAAAGGAATTCCTTTTTATATATATTTTAGAATATATTTAAAACCCTTTTTTTATTTCGAAATTATATCCAAACAGCTTTGATTCTGAAATTACATCAAAACGGACAAACTTGTGTAGACAGTTTGATTAAAACCTCTACTTACCATGAGTTACACTGATTAAAAATCTAAAGCCCTTTCTGGTACAACTAAATTATACTCTTTGACAAAAATGTTAAGACAGATGTTGCTAAAGAAATAATGTAAATGGAAATTTTGTTGTGAAGCAATAGCGGTTGGAAGCATTTTATGAAATAAAGCTTATAAGGTATTTCTCCCGCCTTCCTAGCGTGCCTTCGTGGTGTAGTGGTTCTGTACGTTGGGCAGGTCACTCAGAGGTCCGTGGTTCGATTCCCGGAGGAGGCGATTGCTGATTTCTCATCTTGCCTGCTTCCAAAAATACCTAATGTCTCTACAGTGGTGCCCGAACTAAAAGGGTGGTGGATGATGATTCACCCCACCCAAGATTTGACGATTGGGTCCCCTAAAACCCCCCAGTCGCCCTTTAAAAGGGGGAGTATATAAGGTATTTCTCTCGTCTTCTTGGCATGCCTTTATGGTGTGGTGACCTGCACGCTGGGCGCGTATTCTAGAGATCCGCGGTTCGATTCTAGCGAAGACGCTGGCTTATTTTTCCTCTTGCCTGCTTCCAGAAATACCTAATGTCTCAGTATGTAATAGACTCAATCTAATAATTTCCTCTCTTAAAAAGTTTCGGTTCCCTAACACATTTTATGATAACAGTACAGCAGATAAGAAGAGTATAAAAATTATGCGCTAAACGCTTTTGTTGAATTATCAATGTGTCGACCCAAAAAAACTAGTCGACAGCAGTATTGAAACTTAAGATTTTGGAGATGAAACTTATACGAGGATATCTAAGACGCAGGATGATGATGCCTCTATCTTCCTTATAATTAAGACTTGATGTTAATAAGCCAGTTCCTACCTCGTGACAGTTAATTATAACTAAAATGAATTAATTAGCATTAACAAATAAGTAATAATAATAGTAATAAGTATTATGAAATAAAGTACAGATTTGTCTTACCTGTGGGTCTCGCCGGTGGAAGTTTTCCTGCGGGAAATATGGATTTATTGTACCTCCCTAATGGCCCAATAGGAGTGGAGCTCGACACATACGTCATCGCCGTAGTGCTTGCGTTAAAATTTATTGGCAAGGAATTCATTCTCTAGCCGAATGACGTCACAGTAGCGTCAAGCGCCTTTCTTTTTCGCTTTTTTATAAGTTCGGTACATGGTAACGATTGATTTTGATTTGTCTTCTGTACAACTCAATTAATCAGAACGGTAAGCGTACGAAGGAACCAATAAGTGCACAGATACTTGTATTCTATGTTTTAGTTACTTCCTTTTCAGAAGAAACATTTTTGAACGAATCGGTTCAGAGAGATTCTTTCAAAACAAACCCGCCTTTTTGCGTTGAATGTTTTTTGAAATTGTTTCTTTAGCTCCGATTAAACATACAGAAAAATTTTATTTAATAATGTATAATAATATTACATGATTATATGCAAACGTATTTATAGCAGAAATTTTAGCTTTGAATCCTTAAAGAATATTTTTTTAGCAACTGTACTAATACACATTTTCTTCCCCTTAACCTTCTTGCTTCAACTGTTTCTGAAGTTTAAGATGAAACTCTAACGATCACAAAACTTGCCCATCTCATGAGGTTGCAATTCAACGTAAATTGACTTTTAATTCTCCCTTAAGAATTCACTCTAGAAATCATTTTGGGTTCGAAAAGGTAATAAGAACGAAGCTATTTATACACAGACGAAGCATTCATCATCTTGGAAACTGACATATTCACCTGCCATAGAGGAAGAATTTTCCAACATCCTTCGTATGACACATTTCTTGACGAAAGTTAGGGATTTCTTTAGTTGCTGGAAAGAACTTTTGATTGATTTTCAGTCTTCTCAAGTCTGCTTTAAAATTTCAAGAAAAGTGCTGCCGACGACATTCGAACTTTCTTTAGTGGAAAATATACATTTTTTTTATCACGTCTTCCATTGTCTAAGACAACAAGTTAAAACAGGTGACATGGGATCTGAAAGATAAAAACAAGCATATGTTAAGTACACCAAAATGCGTTTTAGAGTGAGTGCACAGACATAAAGTTTTAAATGTACAAAACAAAAAAAGAAAATTTAAGCATTTGTATATAGTTAAAACATTTCGAACAACGTTTTTTCACTGCAGCAAATAATCTTCTTGAAATTAAAATTTTATTTACACCATTATACAAAAGAATTATGAATTATAAATTTTTGTGCGACTCAGAAAACGTTCATTGGGATTGCAAAATCCCACAAGACAAAGGTATTTCTTCCGCCTTCTTAGCACGCCTTCGTGGTGTAGTGCTCAGCAAACTCGGCGCGTATTCGAGAGGTCTGTGGTTCGAGTCCCAGCGAAGGCATTGCTCATTTTCAATGCCTCCTGCTTTGAAATAACGAAATGTCTCTACAGTGGCACCCGAACTAAAAAAAAGGTGGTGGATGATGATTCTCCAACACCAGGATTTGGCGACTGGGTCCCCCTACTCTCCAGTCGCCCTTTAAAAGGGGGAGTATATAAGGTATTTCTCCCACCTTCTTAGCATGCCTTTGTGGTGTTGTGGTCAGCACACCCAGCGCGTATTCGAGAGGTCCGTGGTTCGAGTTCTGGCAAGGGCATTGCTCCTTTTTCATGCCTCCTACTTCGAAATAACCTAACGTCTCTACACCTTCTGTAGTGAAAACATAATGGATACGAGTAAAAATGTAAAATGTATGCCATGCTCTCAGACCTGAAGATCTGTAAAACCTGCAGACCACAGAGAGCAAAATTCAAGGATATCATAGATTATGATGGCTCAAGTGGCCGACATAATGGTACATGAACAGCGAGCTGCTATTAGGTTTCTTGTGGTCAAAGGCTACACAATTTCGTGGAGTTCATCGAAGAATATTGGACTATTCTTATTATGCCTATGCAGAAAAAAGGACAGTGTTTGAGTGAGCAGAAATGTTTAAAAAAGGACGACGACAGAAGCGTTCAAAAAGGGATATCGAGCAAGAAACATGCCCCATAATCTCACGATGAGTTCAGTTAACGCCATTTATTTGGAAGAATACGCTCAATTGGACATTCGGGTCCCCAAACTGTATTTTAATGCTAGATCCACTTATAACGTTGTCACTGAGGCTATGATGCATCACAATTAATATGAATGGTGCATACTTAATACTGAATGCAGAGCAAAAGATCTAGATTTCATCAGCGTTTTTGTTGTAATATAATGCTGAAGGGAAGATTTCCTAAATGAAATTCCATACCGTGAAATTTTTACTTTCTATCAAATTTTTTAATTTAACGGAATGATTAGTAAATTCATTGATCATTGCACTAAATTTTTTATTTATGATTCGTTCTTTTTTTAGGAGACAAAACACTGGTGTGTCACTATAACTTTAATTGAGAGTAGTGCTTAGAATAGCGGCATATATCTTCCTCCTCAATGAAGTTCCTAGCCTTTGCAGACAAGGTCAAGTCAGTTCTGTTCCGATTTATTAATGAACTTATTCTGGATAACTTGTAGAACTCAAAAAGTTCAAACCAATGTAAAAAACCCGAAAATTGCAATCGAAGGAAAAGCTCAAGCAAATACAACTCAGCAGTTGTAAAGGGATTTTAAAGGCATTTTTCTACTTCATAACCACACACAGCACAAAATCATTGTTTTAATTGTTACCATCATTTCAAAATTAAAATTTGAACGTATACAGTATCCTCTTCTAGTTAACTTTTATAATCCTACTGATTTGATACTCAGTATAGGATTTGGTAATGGGATTATCATATTAGCTACCGGACCGAATCGTCGAATCTCAAAAAAAACTATTGTGGGAAGACAATGATATCGATGTGATGCAACAATCAAAGAAAAGTGCATTTTTTCTAGTTGCAGATACAACCCAAAATATTCTTTTAATGAAATCAAGATGTTGGTATAATAGTGCGCTTTGAAAAAGAGAATAATATTTAAGAAAATGACAAAAAATTTGTTACTGAGATTTAAATGAATTTAGCTGTCTCATAATTTCAGTTTGATGTTAATTATTTAGAGTTTAAGTAGTATAACTTTATTGTATTTGTAACTGTATTCTTTTCGAGTTCAAACTGTATAACTGTGCACAATTGTAGGTAGTTTTATAGTTTGCTTTATAAGATTTTCTTACACTGAATTACTGAGAAATTTCGTTATCGAGAAGGAAAATTTTAAGCAGCTCTTTATAATGCTGGTTGATGGACAATTGATGTCAGGCACTGAACACCGCATGTTGAACTTCCCATTATTCAGTGTGATTTCATCCGAACATATTTTCGTAAACATTTTCTTCCGTATCCAGTTTCGTGGCAGCCGCTACACAGACAGAAAATATTCCTTTGTTCTAATGTGAAGTAAGTAATCGTAGGCTTGACAGTTTTAAAGCTTAAGATCCAGTTAGTGGTAACAGCATGTGAATTGCTTTCTGAAGAGCAGCTCACATAGAATAAGACTTCTTTTATTTCTTGTGATTTTTCTTTAATGTCTATATGAAATTCTGAACTTTAATAATAGAAACGAACACGTTAAGCACTGAAATGAGGATGAGGTATATTGAACAGTTCATTTACCATTACCAAAAAAATAATAAATTTAACTAATTAATAAACGTCTATTAAATACCTACATCCAATACTTAATCAGCAATTTTCAATCGTAATTAAAATCTGGGCTACCAGCCACCGGGAGGCATATTTCACAAGTGCACATATGTATAGCCACCGAGGGAGTGGCTTCTAGGATGGACCATTGGGCATCCAGTAATATTTCTGTTATGTTACATGACTTTTCGCGTGCTTTAAGATTTAACCAAGATGGCTGAAAATATTTTACCACACAATTTTCTGTACAAAATAATTAAAGCATCGTCGATTTCTTCTGAAAATTTGCATTGCGAAGTTAGATCACATATAAGCAATTATGAAGATTTCATTACCTGGTTGAAAGAATTTGAAATAAATACAAATACATGTTGGACACTCTGCAAAAATATCCGTGTGAAATATAACTTAATAAGTGGTAAATAAATGAAGAAAGAAAATATGTGATAAGCATCTCAGCCCAGATGCTATCTTTACATAAAACTATGCATATGAGAAAAATATTTACACCAACTATATGTGTAAAAGGAAGTCAGCACTTTTTGTTGCAATCTATATGAAAAAGATGTTCTATAATAATTTCCAATGCAGAAGTATTAAAGTGAACTTTAGTAATTTGCATTCGTATACATTTAGTGTGTTAAATTTCACATTTAATAATTGTTCACTCTTAAATGTACTGTCTACACGAGAAATACTCATCAAACCGAAAGAATTTATCTTATTCACAAAGAATATATTCAGTTTATTCATATATAACGTTTAATGCTAACAATGGATATAATCAGGTTATACAGAATATGTATTCTGAACCTTACACTTTAAAAATCAAAAGAATGCAAGCACTGAAATAAGAAAACACTACATTCAATATTACACTCCCAGTTCTTCTCAGATCAATTAAAAAATTATATACTTGAATTCTCTTAATCTACAGGTGTTAGTAAATGCATAATATTCGAGGCTAATTGTAGCTTGAGTCATTTTCTCGATGTAAAGAGGGATAATATGCCGTGAATATTAATCCAAGTATTAATGCGTGATAAAAATTGCGGAAGTAAAATGTCAGCGATTCATTAAACTCATAAAACGAAAGCACAGTGAGATTTCCTACTATTACACCATATAGTTATAGCTGTGAAACAAATGCAAAATAAAACGTAAACAACGTACGCTCACATGCACGAAGATTTAGAACGTCACAAAGACAATGGAAGCTCATGGGTCCGTTTTAGAAACCCCTTCTTCAGTGGCTACGCTGATGTTCACTTGTGAAATATGCGGCCGGGAGGTCGCTGAACGCTAGTACTTCGAATTCCGTTAATGGGCTGATTGCATCGGCGTTTCCGTCGAATTAGGCGAACACAATTCGCAGAAAACAGGCACCCGCGCGGTACTGCTATCCTGGAGTAACAGGTTGGCGATTTTCTAACGATGTATGCCAGAGTATTTGTGTGTGGTGTAGCTGAGAGAAGCTCAGTTAAAATGAAAAATTATCTATTATAGGCAGGTCTTGGTTACGTAGATCCCTCCGGAACACGATGTCATTTTGTCCATATCTGACGTATATACGAGCCATTTTGCTTTAAAATGTCTTCCACGAAGGCATTCCTTCCCTTAGGCAGATAGCCCTGGAGTGCTTTGCCATAAACAAACAAACCTAACCGAACCAAACCCAATTAAAATCTACAGAAGCTGTTTAGCATGCACATTTTGATTAATCTGTTTGTCCAGCTGAAAGTACAATCCCATAGAGATCAGTTAATAGGTAAATGACGTTAGATTTCGATTCAAATAATTATTTCTTTTGAAATTGTCCTAGAGCATCCACTGTTCTAGGTAATTCTGCTCTTCTGTTTGTAAGATTATCTTCGAGGACATAAAAATTACCGGCAATAATATTGTTACTTAATTACTTTTCTTAAAATGCTAGTCATTTTATGAACATATCATCAGAGATATCTGTATTTTAGAAAAAGAAACGCTAGTATTTGTATGCTTGAGTACATTTTCTCTATGTAAAGGGCGATAATATGCCGTGAATATCAACTCCAAATACTAATGCGGGATAAAAATCGCGAAAGTAAAATGTCAGCGATTCATTAAACTCATAAAACGAAAGCACTGCGAGATTTTATACTATTACACCATATATTTATAGCTCTATTTGAGGGGAAAAAAAGTAAAGAAATCAATTTTTGTGCAGTTTACTAACAAATAAAAGATAAGGTTCAATTTATCAAAAAACATTGCTACTATGACTGCGTTCACCATAGAAGCAACGATTCGTTAAAATTAGACTGAGCTCCAACAAAAATGCAGTCAATCGAACGGTATTGAATTTTTTACTGACTTAC